GTTACTGTGACAGTCTCAGAAAGAAAACCTCTCTGCTCTCCTTCCACGGCACGGTGGTGGTCGATAAAGGCTATGGAAAAGACAGATAGCTCTCCAAAGACCTAGCGCGAGGTGCTTTGGGCAGAATAAAAAGAAAAAAATCAAAACGTCAAATTCTGATAATTTATATACATAGACAGGGGGAAGCTCAGGCTTTTCCAATGTGCAAGTACGGCCAATTTGAGTTTTGTAAATATTATTAAATACTGCAGGAAGTCTCAGTACAGATCTGTATCTGCTTAAGTCCAGCTTGTAAATATATGCTGTCACTGTTCTAGAATAGATTTTATTTTTAGCAAGCCCAGTCTCACATCATATAACAATTTATTAAAATATGCTCCAATGAAGGGCTAACAAATGCAGATGTGACAGATGACAGTTAATTCCAAAAAGTTCAAGTTTGCTTCCCCTAAAGATCTACAGATGACAAAAAATTATACACAATTTTATTTAATTCACATTTCACCTGAGTGTAGATTTAGAGAGGAAGCGGGCTCATTCCTGACAATTCCTCAGGAAGTTTAACAAATTAAAATGTTAATCTGCTCTTTTTCAGCTGAACTCCCCTGATGGGATCACAGAGGTATTTGACAGTGACAGATAAAAAAAATAACCGGCTTTTGTGATAGCTGCTCCTGAGCTCGTACTAACGCAGAGCGACAGCCCAGCACATCGTYTGAGCGATCCCATACGGCTCAGTGTTTGCTGCCACATCCATTTTTCAGCGAGACGTACCTAAAACAGGCGTCGACTCTCCAGTGCCAATAATTATCATTCTTCCCACACTGCCGTTACTGCATTATGCAGCAGGGCTCCAGTCGCCATGTCCAGCCAACACAGGGCCACATTTTTCCTCTCCAGAGGCGCCCACTTACTGGCACCGAGTCACATCTTGTAAGATTTTTAAAAACACTCATCCATCTCCATTATCTGTGACAGTTTCCCAAAAGTGACCGTGAAAGTTATTTTATACAGAATCATGTGCAACACTTCATAAATAAAGACCAGGGAAGTGCAGCAGGTAGGTTTAAATTTGCAGGCCTTCCATTGCTCTGCGGTCCTGGGAAAAGTAGTTTCACTTCTCCAGTTTTAGATAAATTATCAATACTACTGAGAAGTGAAAGGGATGCATCTCCTTCCTTTGTCTTGATCATAAAATGGCAGCACATTAGTCCAACTACTATTTTTTCTAACAAGACTATGTGATTACTGAAGCTAAAATATAAAAATATCTGTACTAGCCCAGAACAAGCAGTATGTAACAGTTACATACTTTCCTCTTAAGTGGAGAAACAACCCTTACATATTCTATATCCCAAAGAACCATACATGCTAACAGCCACACAGACTCAAAAGGCAGGTTACTGATGAAGCCTCAGCATTTTAGGTTGATAAGGGGATGACAGTTCGAGTCTTGCACATTTGAAATTTTGACAATTTTGCCTCTACTATTCTAAGCATTTTCTAAGCAGAAAGTTTAACAAAAAAAATCACAAAATGTTTACAGTTTGCCTATCAACCGACTTTTTCTCTAATGCCTATTTAAGATCACTTTTCAAATACATGTTTTAAGCCTTAATTTTAAATTGTAAATTTTAAAACATAAGACAAAGTTAAATGGCAACTCCATGATCTTCTGCATCAGTGCCCAGGGACATCTCCTACACTGAGGGCAGCTCTATCTAATCCACATACATGTTGTCTAGATAAGTCACTATTTTTGAGGGAGACTTTAAATAAAGAATTTTAAAACCAGTAAAAAGAAACAGCAAAGCACAGCAGGCTCTCAGAGAATTCAATAACGTCATGTTGATCGACAAGACTGACAAGTCCAAATACAACCCTGAATCTCGTCAACAACATTGTTCTTCACTGCCAACAGAAATAGCAAAAGAGGAGGAGATGAATGAAGCAGTTGAAGCAGGCAGCTGAAGGGAGCCTTGCAGAAAGCTCTCCTGATGATGCTGACATGTTAAAGCTCATCTACTTAGCCAGGTTCAGGAGCATCCAGTTTGCTGTAACCCCTGGAAAACTGTCAGCTGGATGAAGGGGTTGGCTGGTTTGCTTATGGGAAGGCAGACACAAATTAAGCCTTCCAAGGCACCTGTTGCCATGGAATATCTCTGCAAGTCCAAAAGAATCTTCAACATTTTGTCACAGGAAAAACAGACACCAAACCATTTCCTGCTGACAGATTCTCTCCTGTAGCTCCAAGGCTATTTTCCTGGGACAATATTCTAAGCTCACTAGAAATACGGGGATTGACTCGCACCCTCAGTAGCTGTACATGCAGGAAAAAAAAGGGTCAGAAGACGACGCTAGGGTATTAGGACTGGAAAATATAGAGGACTTTTCAGTTTCAGAAACAACTTCCAAATCAGTATGAATTTGAGAAAAAAATTGTTCTTTCTAATGTTTAATGCGGGAAGGATGAAGAGACCTTAATAATAATAGCACATACTAATCATTTTAGTAAGATTTTTAAACCTTCTCAGCAAAAATAAATTCTCATACAGCAAAATCATCTATTTAATATCCCTTCTTGCAATTTTTCTCCCTATTTAGCAAATCTCCCTTCTTCATTTAAATAACATTTTGCAATCCATCCTCTCACATGCACATACACACTGCTATTTTCTGGTCCCTCTATATCCTCTGCATTGTCTTCCTCCCCTCACTAATAGAGAAAAAAAAAAGGAAGAAAAAAGAAGGGAAAAAAAGAACAATAACAGTAATTTCAGCAGCAAGCTACATTAAATAAATGTCGCCCAGTTTCCATCAATTTCCCTGTTTCTCCCACCACCCAACTGGCTGACCCCCACCTACCTTCTGCCTGCTAAGGAGGTCTCCTTTTTGGCCAGCTGGCCAACTGGCTACAGCAACGTCCCCAACCCGGATTATCCCTCATCATCCACATGATTATTCCCCATAATGACATGTATTATCCACATTTACGAACCAGGGACACAAATCCCCCTTAGAAATTCCTGGGCACCACAAAATGTTAATCCACAGTGTGAATAGTTTCCCAGGAAGCAGAGAACCTTCCCAGGAACAGGCAGCTTGGAGGACCCATTCAGCCTTTATCTGGTTTGTTTTAAATACTATTTCTTTCTCCCTCTGACTTTTGTCTTCCATAAAAATTTGGTTAGGATGTAAACATTTTGTCAATTATAGGGCAGAGACAAGGAGAATGCATAGTCAAGAAGGAAGTTATAGGCTATTTAGCTTCCTTAATATTCATCCATATTTACGACAAATTAATAAAAAGCCTGGAAACTTGATTAAAAAGAAATACCATGTAGCTCACTTGAAACACTTCTGCTTTCTGAGAATTTTTATTTTAGAAGAACCCGTTCCGCTGTTAACAGCTGCAACCGTTTTTCCCCTCCTTCCAGGCACTGGAATTAGAGGCACATCGCTATGCCAGAGACAGGCAAAGAGCAATTGAAGGCAGACAAAAAAATACTTTTGACTGCTCCCTTGCTCCTTCTGGAGGTGGATGGGGCATGCCCTTTCACAGCATTATTTCAGGCTGCTATTGAAGAACTTCTTTCCTATGCTGTCTGTCCATGTCCCTTCAGATTTCCTTTTTCTCCAAGGGTAAGAGTCAAATAGGTTTTTATTCTATTATAATTTCCATCTGTGCTTCTTGGAGGAGCTCAGAGTTGTGGGTTATTTCAGACCAGCCGATTCCTGAAAACTAAGAATGCTTTTCTGCTGGTCTATGCTCTTGTCCCACTATGTAATACCTACATCCTGCCTCACTGTTTCTCAAGAGGTCTACGTTCATCTTCTCATTTAAAATCAGACATCTTAGCCATTCTGCTTTATTTTTAGCTGCTGTAAAAGAGGTTCCCCATTAGTACTGTGGAATTATCCTCCAGGAATGCTAACAAGCTTCCCTTTCCCYAGCAAATTCCCATTTTGATCTCGCTTTCCCCTCTCTTTCACCTCTTTTTCCAGAGTAATTCCTTCAGACATGCTGAGATAAACACTGACAGATGTGACATGAATACAAATGTTTTAAGAGTTGTTGCTTTTTTTCATTTGAAATATTAAACCTGGATTAACCGTGACTAAAAGATTTCTTCAGCATATTTTATCATCAAGCTTAATATAATAAAAGGCACAAGAGCTTCACACAGGATGCAGCCATACTGCTAGCAGAATCATCACCAGTACAAAATGATATTTTATGCTTTTGGAAAACAGTTCCTTATCAAGGTCATTTCTGAAAGCAGCTGTACATCAGGAACTGAAAAAATAAGATATGCTGAACTGATAGCAAAAGATCAAATCTACACCCCAGCTCCATCTCCAAACTAAATCCACCAACAAATCCCAAACAATCAAGGTATTGTGTTCACCTACTGCTTGACTACCTCTACAAAGAGGAGGTCCAGGGCAGGAAAATTAACAGGGCTCCTCCCTTCTTTTTACCTTCTCTATTTGCTTACTAAAACAATTAAAAAATTGTTAAAGAAACAGAGTCTAAAGGGAAACATGTTTAGATGGAAAAATGAGATAATTTCTCCTTTACTCCCTTTTGCACTTGCTAAGTACATGAAGACATGAGACTAACAAAGCTCCTTGCAATATTCTTCCCATCTCCAGACATTCTGAATTGGAAAATCAGTTTAGAGCTTTCCCATCAAGAGCCTACTTGCCAGAGAAGGTAACTTCAAAAATCAGTATCCTTAACTCCAAATCAATTATTTAACAAACAAAATGAAGATGTGTGCACCAGAAATTCCTATGTAGACTCCCCAGCAAAGAATAAGGCAGTTCAGAATACTAATTTTAAAACCAGTATTACACTCAACATCTCATCAATTTATATATCATTTCTAAACAATCTAGTTGCATGCTATTTCAAATTAAACAATAAAATGAAATCAAAAGTTTTCACTTAGAGTGGAGGGAGGAGGTCTCTCTTATTCAGGCTTATGACATTTTACCTCACAAAGCAGTAAGTCAATGATGTGGAAGACCATGCAGAGTGGAAACTTGGCAGTAAAAAGTGTGAGAAACCACTGGGATGCATACATATGAGCTTCCAAATTCAGGTCCAAGAAATGGCTGTACAAGTCAGGTAACTGCTCCTACAGTAAAGGGAAAAAAACCAAATGCTTCAGTACTACTCATCAATCTTCTGAGTTCATGATAAACATCGTCAGCGAGCACCAGGTTGCTAAACACTGAAGAACAGAACAAAATGAAACCTTGGCTATTTCTCAGCAAAGGAAGTATGTTTCTGCATAAATTTCAGTGTCCGTGATTTTTGAGATAGCTGCTAGAGATTCTGTTCTAGAGAAGGTACACTAAGATTTTAGGGAGAAATTACAAAACTGCTAGATCTTAAAACAGAGGAAAGAGAGTATTTGAGAGTATATGTGTATGCCATGCATGTTGCATATTTTAAAAAGCTATTTTGGAACAAGAAGTTCAGCCTGCAGACCATAAAGCACCGAAGCATGTTTCAACTTTCAGAACTGCATGAGACAGTTTTTCTAGCTAGAAAACAAAGATGAGCAATGTAAAATTAGCCTGGGAAATTCTAGTGTATGTCAAGAACTAATACTCCTTCAGTAACTAAATAAACGCCTTTGTAAAGGTATGTAATGTAAACATTGAAAAGATCATGAACCAAAGTAAAATACCAATTGAATTAAGATACCAGATGAATTACTATACTACTTGCTCTGCAGAAAATATGCTTAAATCAACTATGGTCTGTACACATTTTTGTTTGTTTTTAATAAACTTCATGGAAGGAAATATGATTGCCTTTATGGCGTGGGCAGCTCAGCCAAAGAGCTAGCTTTCACTATGATAATAGGACAACTGGTCAAAGTTTACACTGGGCTCTTAAGAACAGCTCAATAGTCAAAACAACACCTTCAACATCTTACAATGGTCCATTTATGTCTAGATATGAAATAATTACATCTGAGAAAAAGCAACAAAGTATTCAAATCACAGTAGGATCTACAAAATGACCCAGCTCTTGATTTGTATTTCATAATCAYCACCATGCCCTGATTTGCCTGACCTCTTAACCACCAGCACAGGCCACAGAAAGTAGGACACTGGTGGTGGCAGCCCAAAAGTTTCCCTGAACTTAAAAGAACATAGAAATTCTCCTAAGTGACATAACGAAATAGACAAGGGAGAAAGCAAGCAGAGACAGGAAAAACATTCCTACTCTGCTTGGACACAAAGATTATCACTAAGACTTTGTATTTGAAAGCCAAAAGAAAAGAGAAATAAAATTGATTCACAATGTTTGGACTTAGATATTACACTTCTCTGTAAATGGGGCTGATGTATCCAAGTTTTGGTTCAACCACACCTCTAAAATGAGAGGTTTTTTATTGTCAGGTAGGTTATATAAAAAACCTTTAGCCTCTTTATCACACTAGTATTTCAATTTATGAAAGTATAAGAATTTTGTAACCTGGCCCCACCTGCATCAACTTCTCCAGCTGGAAAAATTTGCAATGGAGATCTTCAAAATTATTTCTGTAGAGGTCCCTCAAGCCGTAGTCATACATTATTTTCACCAATACACAGAATGCTTGCTCTTCTGGCATCTGTTTGGAAAAATATACAAATACAATTTTAAATACTAAGCCAAAGTTGGAAGGTCCTTACACTGATACTCACATATATCCACACTGAAGTCACTTACGCAGGATGGATTTTAAACCAGGGGTATATTAAATTTTTAATTATGGCACTCAGTATTTGGAACTAACCAACTATAATCAAGGGAAATATTCTCCTTGATGAGCACCTTGATCTGTCTCTACGAGATTATTTGAAGAAAATGTGAGATCACAGTATAGGTCCATATATGYAGACTTGGCTATAACTGCACAACTGTCACTGGTATCTTTTCACCAGTATGCAGGATTACACAATTCTCACCTACAGGAAGAATTACAAAATAAACAGCAATCCAAGATAGAGATTTCTACTGAGAGAGACTTAACTGGGAAAAGCATTTGAGAACACTGAAAGATAACTGTCCCTTATTGAGAATMATTGGTATTTATTTTCATCCAAACCCCAGGAAGGCAAATGCTCAGAAGCCTGGCTTCCCAAGGCCAATACTGAAATACAGCTTGCCTTCAAAACCTCATCACAAGACTAGGGGGGGTGATTTCACCCATTGATATTGTGGCCTTTTCAGGTTCCTAATCTCTATTATCACTGTATTTCATCTTGACCAAAACTCCTTTTTCAATGGAGTTATAGTTTGCCCCTTAATGTGGTTGCTATGTCAGCCATCTGAAATCACATTGACTGGCTTGAGCTCACTAAAAGCTGAATTTGTATGAAGGCTTGTATCAAACTTCCACTAGTCCGACATCTCCCTGCTTTCTCCTGCCTGCAGGCAATGTAATAGTAAGATATGGATAAGCAGAGTCACTGCAGACTCCAAATCAGTTCATCAGCCACAATAAAAAAAAAAAAAAAAAAAAAGGACAAAAAAGAAAAAAAAAAGCCTTTTACAGGTACCAGATTGCTACAACTGAAAACAATTATCCAGTATCAAGAGTGACAACTCTTGACCTTTTAGCATATCCTTCGTTCACACCCTAGCCAACTCCTCAGCAAATATCAGCAATAGATAAAAGCTCAGTATTTTCTTCAAAGAGAATTTTAGTCTCTTGATATCCACCTCCAGGGCTTCATCTTTTATAGTTTAGACTATGATTATGTTCTGTCTCCAGGGCCACAGTTGAAGCAGATGCTTTCATTTTCAGACAGCATATATAAAAGCAACCAGCAATCGTCAGGAAATGCCAGATGCACTGCAAGTGATCCGAGCGGGCTAAAAGSACCCAGACCGAGCTGTTGTGAATCTCAGATCTCTCTACCACAATTCTAGCTGGATAGAATGATCCCCCTCTGACAGAAAAAGGCTGCTGACTAAATTAAGGCAAGAAACAGCTTTAGGCTGACCAAAAAGCTTAAGTTTGCTATAAAACAAGCTGAAAGCTTTTTCTTTTTCCCCCCTCTTTTTTTTTTTTTTTGAAAATCTAATAGGAAAGGGAATGTTATGAATGTTCTACTCAAGAGGGTAATTGCCAGTTAGTATTCCTCCTGTGCAGGACAATTTSTTCTAACTCCAGAAACACTAGAAACAAAGGGGAGTCTAACAGTGACAGTGGATGACTAAATGAGGGAAGACAAAATATCAGTCAGATGTTAAAAATGTGACATCCATTTATTTCTAAGCAACTCTGACATGGATTATTTTTCAAGTGGAAATTAAAAGTCTTTCTTTAGGTAAGTTTTTAATTGTAAAACAAAAGGCATAGATATGTTCATTTTCACCGTATGTGGGACTGCAGTGTGACTAATTTCACATTCATCTTGAAGAAGCTAAAGCTCTTCTGTAACACTGGTAATGTGCTCATTATATCTGAGAGACAGCATAGATCTCTTTAGGAATTATGATTTATAGTTAAAGTGACCTGAATTTGATTTCGTGGAACTATGTAGGCAACGTATATTTATATTCCCAACAGCCCTATACAGAACCACAATATGAAATGACTCCAATCATGATTAATAATTGATTAATTAAAGCCTGTCAKAGAAAGCAGGCAACAGCATAAATAATAGTGGTTGGGATTTATATTCCCACTCCTCCTTCATATTCTTTGTAGTGTTCATACAACTTGCATCTATTGCTTATCCTGTGATACATCAAATTTACTTCGACTGCAAATACAAAAAAAATGCACATTTTTCTATCTGTGTATATAAACACACTCCCATATGTATTATGAAGCAAAAAAAAAGGTTTTTTATAGTTTTTGGTTACAGGCTAAAATATGGTTCAAATCAAGTTTTCACTCAAAACGTTTTACTAAAGGTTTCTAGAAGAAAAAGGGTCACAGAGAATTCCTAAGACTCTGTTCTGGTAGTTGCCCTGAAATTTTCTCCCAACGTTGAATTCGTCATAAAGGCAATGGAAATTTACCTACATGATAATCAGATTAAAGGAAAAATAGAAATATATAACAAAGGGATTTAGGAATAAAATTATTTCATTTAAGATAATCTCTATTGTTAAAAGCTGAAACACTACAAGACACATTACTTCAGCTACTACAAACTGTAATTAATCTTGACTTAATGAATTGCCTAGAGAGATGAAACACATTCACAGCAATAGAAACCTTTTATACACTATTTGCTGACAAGCAACAAAAGATAATGAACACAGACAAATAAACAACAGTTGATACCTGTCAAACAGTATGCTACAGTATTACTGCTTTTAGAGCTGCTTTGGTTTCAAAATAAATTCACTTTCATTTTGCAATTAACTCACATGAAGAAGTAACACAGCTGCAAGGAAGGATTGTCCCTGGCAATAGCCAATGTCTTCATCATAGACAGAATAGGCCTAAAAAAAAAAAAAAAAAGACAAAAGTCACTCAAAAATTCAGATCTATGTATGCATTACCAAAGTCATTTTAATCAATGAGATATTCAGAATACATAAGGCTATGAAGGCCAAAAAGATGAAGAGGGGAAATTGTAACCATCCTTGAACAGGCTTTCAGGACACTTAAGGTAGGCATAGTTCAGCCTTACTCTCTCACATGCAAAATATTTGTGTACATATACATATGTATGTACATATGTATATATGTGTGTATGTAAACATATTTAATCATGAAAATATTTAGATGCAATTTCCTTTCACTTAAACCTGGGATAATTATACCAACATCACTACTGCGATAATGATACAAGTCTGAATTAAGAACTAGGCTAGAAAAGAAACATCTTACACAAATTAAGTCTAGGACACAAGGATGCTGGCTAGGAAGCCAGTGAGGATTATTGCGGGCTGACAGCTTCATCAGAAACAACCTTCCCATGTCCTCACTACCCTGAAAAATGAGTAAGACTCATTTTCCAATGGTAAGACTGCTGTGCCAACATGAAGCTTTCCTGAGGGAAAAAGCTTTCCCAAGCTTTTGAATGCTGAGTTCAGGAGAATAAATTTAATTATGCACCTTTCAAACTTCTTTTGTACTTTAAAACATTTAAAAATATTTTAGAATCAAATTTGATTTTTTTTCCCCCCTCATGAGAATGTGAGTGAGTCTTTTCTTTTTTAAATGTTGGAAGAAGCCGTGAAGCAGTTCACAGTCTTGACATTAAAAGAGTTATCAGTGACGCTCACTAAAATAAGGGTTAGCATTTCAGATCAACAGCACAGCAGTTAGCCCAGGTCACTGACAGATCATTTCCCCCAAATTATGAGACACAGGTTATAAGGAGGTAGTCCTTCCATATTCTGACTTTTTTTTTTTTTTTTTAATTAAATGAATGCTAAGACCATAGAAAAACTGAGGAAAAAGCCTTCATTTTTAATCTCACACAGATCCTTATTCTTATAAGTTTTTAGGTGACCTTGTGGTCACCATTAATACTAGAGAAGATGTCCTTTACAGGGAAGATGTGATATGGTCCAAAATTAAAACACTGTACAATAGCTACTACACATCACATGCAGCACAATGATAGGATTTACATGGGTATTTCACACTGGCTTCTTTTTCTGAAGAAACTATTTATACTAAATAACACTAATATTTCTATTATATCCACATGTCAACCTCTCGAGTATGTCTCAGTGTGCTTTCATTATCGCATCTTCAGAAAAAAATTAAGAGTACTAAAACTAACACACATCATCCTTATTACGCCCAAATTATAACATATCACATCTTTATTAGAACTACCCTCTAAATATATGTGGGGCAGATAAGAGAGCATTGGGGACTGCTGCATCCTCATSCTCTGCCCCTGAGGGCCCTGCTAACACTTCTGCGCCTGGGAGCTGATGAGAAGCCTCCCTAGGCCAAGTTCTGTGGTTAATAATAAATAATAATAATTCAAGTAAGAATTGGAGAAAAAAATAAAGGCRATTCAGGAAGAATATTTTCCCTTTRTTTCTGTGTCCAAAAATCTACCAGGATATAGATGTCTGCTATTTCTTTAGTATGTCCAAAGATGTTTGATTTTTGCTTTTGAAGACTAGCTGTATTTAGAAGATATGTAATATAACAAGTAACAGATTTTGCTGCTTTTTTCATACCAAGTAAAAACATTTTTGTTTTTCTTAAAGAAATCTAAGCTGTAAAATTAATAGGAAATGATCAATTTGTGTGAGTTCTCACTCTTCTGAGAATTATTAACACAATAGCTAATAATTTGCTAACAACAGTAGTGAATTAATCCAAATAGGTTTTATAGTAAGAGTTTAAAAATCATCACACTGGAGTAAACAAATCTCTTCCAAAAAGACTATGGGTAAGAAAAATCACCAGAAATGAAAAGGAATTCCTTCAGAGAGGATGGAAGAGGCTGAAATTGTGGCCAAAGGAGTARAATGCTGTGTGTGGGGGACCCCAAATTCTGCATGTAAAATATAAAAATATTTATGCAGACTGAGATATATTCTCCTAAATACATTTCAAAGCTTTTCAAAAAACTTCCAATGGGATTTTTTCCCAAGACAACTTGTGGAAATGTCAGCGACGTTCAAATTATTGTTTTCTTCTGTGCCTCAGGAATCTCTGATTACAGTGTTTCAAATAAATAAGATTTAAATTATTYTCTCTCTCAAATAAATCTATTAAAGCCTTACTTAAAACCTACTTTAACTCATTTTAACTAATGACCAATTCATCTACAGAATTGAAGCCTGTTTAATAGCTATCTGTGTGCTGGGAGAGATGAGAGCTTCGTCTCTCCCAATATTTAAAAAGCTGAATAATAAGGAATACAGCTCAAACTCCAKGAGAAATTGGTTTTCATTTTGTCTGCATCTTCAAGAGCATGAAAGATCATTGCTTGTGCTTGTTTAACGTTCAAACATACCTGAAACGGCAAAAAGTCCAGTGCTACCTAGCAAATATCAGTAATTCAATTACATTAATTGCAATTACACTGCAAACTGAAGAGAGCCCATAAAGAATACTGCCACAGCCTGACTGCACATCCACATCACTGTGTGTTAGCTGAAGCTGTATTTTTAGAAATTATTTCCCCGCTAATGGAGCATGGCAGAGAAGCAGCTACATTTTGCCCATTGGGCCTCCTGCAGAGGCGTAGGCACCGCAAGGGCCACAGAAGGGAGCTGCTGCCCGGCTCGTCCCTGGCAGGCTCCTTCCAGAATAGCGCTTTTATGCTCTTCCCAGCACTCAAGATGCACAGGCCTGACCTTTTTACTAGAACAGACTCAGCAGAAAATCCATATGCAGGAACAGTCCCACTGCTTCCTTGCTGAGCCCAGATGCAGAGAAGGAACCTTATTAATATGTAAATTGAAGAAGACAAGATAACATTAAAAAGCTTTTGCATGAAACAAGACAACAATATTTACTAAAATTGCTCTTCAATGCACAAGTGCAGAATATAAACAACTAAAAATAGATGAAAAAACTTTCAACTGATTCTGCTTATGGCTTTGCTTATACTCTAAGAATGCAACAGCAAACAGCCTTTGCAACCAGCTAAACCAAAGTGGACAAATGCAGCAAATGCCTAGGAGGAAAGAGAGAGACATTGCAAGGAATTGAAACTAAGAAAGAAAATGAAAGACACAAAATTTACAGGGCAGTGCTATCCAGCAGCATAAAAACCACTGGACACAAAAGAGCAATTCAACCCATATTTCAGTCACATCATCTACGGCTAAGAAAGGTCAAATCTAATGGTGGGTCCCATTCAGTATTAGCTTTGCCAGAACGAGTTCATCGTTCCCTCTGCTCCTCTGGATACCAACAAGACGACATTGAGACAACTACTGAAACTAAGCGGTTGGTGTCACAGTAACCAACAACTGGTCCTATCCTGCATGTAAAACCTTCTGGCAGCTACAGCTGGCACWGCAATAAACTCCGCATTTAATGAACCAAGGAGACAAGTATTCAGTAACCAAGTGCTTCATAACACAGATGTTCTCACACCTTTTTCACAGGAGAGAGAAAGAAAACAAACACACACACACTTAAACACTAAGACCAGCTTTGGATCATTGAGATTCACCAAACCAGGGAAGGGTTATATTTATTTCTGCTGCTTGCCCAGTAAGATTGTTAACTGAGAAACAGATTGATTTCTCTGCAACATATTGCATTTCCCTTATTAAAGTCTCGGTGGTTGTTTGTCAAATAGGAGTTACTTTAATCAGAAAACTAGAGAAAACGTGTCACGTTAAATTGTGCACTGCACACGCTCCAAGCAGTGGAGAGGACTCTTCTACCAAGTGCTTTGATTCCCTGAAGCATTAGGATGTTAACTACATATGTAAGTATGGAAGTAGGTCAAGAGCATTATTCTGTTATTCAAAGTAACATGGAGAAGGAACTCTTCAAATACACCTAGAATTTTCCTGGTATTGAAACAAAAACAGCCTAAGAAACAGAAGTATTTTTCCAAAGATGTCTGCTCTGTACAAATCTGGCTCATCTGATGTCCTTGGGTGAAATCACAAATCCAGAAGCCAAAGCTGCTAGCTCTTCCCCTCTCATCGCTCATCACCATTGTCAGCCTTCAAAGTTTATTTTTAGATGCTTTGTTACACAAACGTTCTTCAACAGAAGAAGTTTGCAGCTTGCTCAGCTTCCGGCGCTGTGCAGGAGAGCCGCGGGGAAGGAAGGAGCGCTGCAGCGCGCGGCCGCCTCCCCGCTGCCTCCCATCGCCTCGCGTTGCAGCGGTTTTTACCTGCCTCCTCTAGGACAACCTTTTTCTACCCTCATTCAATCATCTCATTATTCAAATTCTTTATTTTCACCTTAGAAAAACAGCATGAACACCCAGTATCTCCCAGTGCCTCGATCAAAAGTAATGCTGCAAATAGAAAGATGTCAAAACATTATTTCCCAACAAAGTTGATAAGCAAATTAACTGTTTTTTAAACATKCTTTCTTTAGAACTCCCCTCTCAAACTCAAGGCCTAATTAAYCACAGACAGGTCATCTGGAGACCACATGGCCAGGGCCATTTAGGGAAACAGCGCAAGGGTGGTGCAAGACCAGAGAAAAAGGGGCTATGTAGAAAGCTACATAAAAGCTAAGCCTGATCCCTGGAACACTGGCAAGTTGGCAGGAATCATCAAATATAAACCCAACCCCCTGAATAATGCCATGGGGAAGATTTACTAGGACTGTTGTGCAAGGAAGCAGAGCTTCCCAAACCCTTTGAATAAGCACACAAAAGATCCAGTCCATTCAGCTTACTGAGATTTCTGAAAAACCTTCAGCAACATCCCTGCCAAATGATTTTTAAAGAAACTAAACCACCGTAGCAGAAGGTCCTATTATGCATTCAGATAAATGATTAAAGGATAGGAAACAAGAAGGAATAAACAGYAAGTTTGCATCCACAAAAGCAGTGGTGAGCTAACTCCCAGAGTCCTACACAAAGAGATGACGGGGCTGGTACTGCTGAAAATATTCACCCATCCTGCACAAACCACGCACAGTAAGGTAACAAAGTCTGCTGATAACGCAAGGCTGTTCAGAGCAGGGAATCAAAACCTGACTGCAAATATGCTATGTGGGATGTTTTCTTATCAAGAGAAAGTGGCAAAATGGCAGAGGTGATTCAACTGCTGATAAAAGTAAAACACTCTGAGGAAACAAAAGTAGTCTTCAACTTGTGACAGATACTGCTAGTTGTGATCTAGACCCTTTCAAGAAATGCAGGGATAAGCGGTGAAGGTTCTTACTCTGCAGAGAGAGAGGTCCTGAGAGTGGGAAGAGTTCCCAGGCTTTGGAAAACAAATGATATACTTCATCCTTATCAAGRGAAATTCAGAAAGAACAGGCATCTGTCTCTCTCAAGCTGCCTGCTAGATAGAAAATTCCTCTAAGTCATTTCTAGTGAAACCAAATTCATCTCTATCTTCTTCTCCTCTTTACTAAATAGAATAGACTAAGCTGCTTGAATTTCTCCTTCTAAAGCGTGCTCTCAAATCATGGAATAGGTCTCATGGATCTTCTACAAATTCTTTCCAGTTGTCTTAAATTCTGGACACAGTAATCAAAATCAAGAGCAGCTGCATCTGTGGTGAAATGCTGAGGAACTTGAATCATATTATTCCTATGTCAGATTCATCTAACATCCTCTTGCCCTTTTTATTATTTAACATTTCTTCTTTCTGTCATCTGCAAATCTTTATCAATTTTTTGTTCAAGTGACTAACAAATGCATCAAATAAACAAGTGTTTGTTTAAAAAACATTTAACGCTGATAATTAAAGACCTCCTGGCTAGCTGCTTGTCAAGTCTTTAATATGTAATTTGTTCATATTCTAACTTGTCTAGCAGCTACAATTGTGCGTAGCATCAGACCAAATGATCTACAGAATTTTGATAAAATTACTTTCACCCATGCTGTATTTTCTTTTTTTAATTAGCTTGTCAAAATCTATTTTCAATAAACCCATAGGTATTCATTATAATATATTTTCACATTTAATCCTTGATAAAGCTGAATGCCATTCCATCATTTTTCATTTAATTGATATCAAACTGACAAGCCGACAATTACCTGCATTGTCCTAGTTATTCTTGTTAAAGATTGACATGAGAACATTTTTCTCATAGCCCTCATGAACACCTTTCATGTTCCAAGATTAGTGTGAAATCAATATAATTGGTCCAAAGTCCTTTATGCTCCTCATTTATTTTTCTAATGTGAATTACCTGGGACAATGAATTCAACAATATCTAATCAAAGCAGCTATATTTAACATGTGTCCAATTATTATTTGAACAGGAGACTATCACCACAGCATATATTTAGAGAACAGCAGTATGTATTATCATGCCCCAAACGCAGGACGTTGTTTACTGAACTGCTGTGGCTGTGCTGCTTGTTATTGACAATTCCATCTCACAAACATCTATCTACCTGCTAATTCATTGGAGGAGAAAAAAGAGTAATAAGGAAAAGGAAGAGAAGGAGAAATAGCTTTCTTTCCTAAAGCTCTCGTTTATTCTACATGTAAACAGATGTTAAAAAAAGATAAAAAGATAAAAAGGAGAAGGAATAAAGTCACAATCAAAATCTACAATCGGCAGCAGTGGAACCCGTATCTAGCTGCAATGTTCTTTCTGCCTCTCTCCTTAGCAACATGTCTGTCTGTATAACCCAGCCCAGTCTGTTCCCTTAATACCTCAGCTCCCTCATCTGCAAGTTGGAAATATATATACACACACACACACACATATATAGATATTCCTTCATTAGAGCTTATTTGAGAGCTATGATTGGAAAGTTATACCGACATACTGTAAAAGGATCACCTAATCTATTCTCTAGCTATTTAGCTCATGAAGGGGCTTCCTTAACCTCACTGCAGTGCAGTTCTCTGGGCTGCTCTTTCTCTGAAGCCTCTATCAGCGAAAAAAAGTTCAGCGGCTTCACACACCTACTGAAACAAACCTTTGACATCAACCACCCCGTTAGTAAAGCTAGCATGAGCCTCAACTTCTGATAGGCATCTTAGGAGACATGAAATTTAGCACGACAGAAAAACTACAGACTTCACAATCAATCTAAATAAAGCTTGAAAATCCTACTGAGTAGTGTTTTGGATGAGAACAGATTTACCRGGGGGGAATATTAAATATACTTAAATATATAAAATACTTAAGTATAAAAACACTTAAATTCAGAGTACTGACTGTACCTTACAGATTTTGTATAGAGATTCCTGACCGTCTCCTTCTGTATCTTTGAAATAATCATGTGCTGGAAACGTGCGATGAATATCTCGGGTAATGACACTCTCCTGAGCAGAATCCTGTAAAAAGAAGAAAAAAAGATCCACAGCATTAGCCCGGAAACAGTATAATTACACAGAATACAAAATTCTACACGCAGTCAACATGGATACATTAGATAACTGCTTTACTGACTCATCCTCCAAAAATGTATTTGTGAAGAAACTGCAAAACCTCTAGTCTCAACTGCGGTAATAAACTGTCTGCTTAACAAGAGCAACGTGGCATGTTTCCTGTCCTTCGGGCTCACAGTCCAACTTTAAAACTCCTAGGAATTGAGTAGCTGTTTAATTACAATTGCTTTTCCCCCCTGCAGAACACAGGCTTATTCTATTTTTGTGAAATTAAAAAGAAAAAAAAAATAGACGATCTTTCTGTTAACCTCAGAGAAACCAGTTTTCAACATATATCAACCTACCAAAATATTGTGTAAACTACAAATTAGACCTATTACTTGGAAATGTCCAAGTTTACAACTGAGGAGTGAGAGTGAGAGTGAGAGTGAGAGAGAGAGAGAGAGAGAGAGAGAGAGAGAGAGAGAGAGAGAAATAAAGTAGTGTTCTGCAGTCAGAGAAATCGCATGTATTTCCTTGCTGGTAGAACATTTCCAACTTAATTGCATTTTCACACTGAGTAGCAATTAGCTCAGGTGCCCAAGCAGGGGTGCTGAAAGCCATTTTAGGAGGGCTGAGGTACCCTTGCCTGGAAAGCAACTGCTACTGCATCCTCTCTGCAAGCTCCCTGTGGATGATCTGCATAACCATAGACATTTAAAATGACACTAGATGCCAATGTTTAGGCAACTGAATTGTTCCCTAGACATACCTACCTACCTCTGTACATAAGGAAGAAATTGCTCAGAATGCTGTAATTTTATAAAGAGATTGGAAATGGTTGCAACCAGGATGGCGGGGCGGATTTTCCTCTGTATATGTGAGGTGGTAACAAACTGTCAGGGTTACATCTACAAGACAACTCAATTATCTTCAGCTACAATTACTCTCAGTATGAGAGAGCATCTTCAGGTTGGTAAATGTCAAATGCTGCTTTTCTGTATTACGAGGCTTATAAGCCTAGAGGAAAAAAAGAAAACAATAGAACCCTCACATGTGACTTACAAAATAAATACAGAAAATAAATCSTCTATAAGTACTTTGGCCTTGAAAACAAAGTGAACCTGTTTGTTATATAAACAGGCTGGAGGCAGCTACCAGGGGCATCTCTAAGGTCTAGGTGATTTCTTGCTCAGGTCCATGGTTGTTTGGACTCTTCACCAGGAACGTTCCCTTGTTAGCGTCCTAATTCCCATTTGCTTTGCCTCTGCTAAGGAAAGGAAGACTGCTACGGAAAGGAAAACTTCCAAAGACAGTGAGCTTCTCTATCAGACTCCAGCTATCAGATGGAGAAAATAATCTTGCTTTTGTGCTGTTTTTTTTTTTTTTCAGGTTCCCATCACAATTTTCAGAACATCTAAACATCATGCAACTAGTAACAACCTATTAACAGCAGTCTAAACGGCATGCAACAAAACAAAGAATAAAAACCCAAATAACAAGCAATTTGCTAACCAGGCTTCTTTAATGAGCRTTTTCATTTCTATAGCTTTCAAACACATGGGTGCCTAAACAACTGYAACATTCCTCTCTTACACTGACCTACCAGTTGTGCTACACGTTATGAAATGCCTTAAATGCAGTTTAAGAGCTAGGGCTGGAATACTGTTACTGAGTCCATTTAAAAATCGCTTAAGGTTCTGACCACAATCAACAAAACCAGGTCAAGCAGCAATGTGGTTGAGCACTGCCTGACTGAGGACTATCCAACTTCTAAACTCATATTGCAGACTACCATCTCACAACCTCACACCAACCCTCCAAAAACTCAGCCTGAAAACAAGACCATATCAGAAATATTTCAGGAAGAACGATGCGGTATCACAGATGGATTTGATACAGCTCTAAACCCTTGTGAGGAGAATCGACTCACACAAAGATTTCTGATTTCCTTTCAACACCTTCCTGGATACAGACTACCCTATTCCATGCATGTTCTTCATCCAGCAATGGGAAGGATAATCTAGGAAGTGATTCAGATAAGATGAACTCACCTCAGAKCTTATTCTCTAAGGAACTTAAATACAAACAAAAAAGCATACTTTTAAAATCAGGTTGTTATGTTGAATCTTGCACTGCATTTGTAATACTCTGTTCAAAATACTCTGTTCAAAAAACCCTTTAAGTGTTACAGTCTTGATTAATCCCAAGAATGCTGTTACAAACCCTTTTATTTCCCTTATTTTAAGCAGTTCTGAAAATACTCGAAACATTTGAACTTTGCAGTGTAAACAGCAAATAGACTCCAGTGAAACCTCTCATAAATGAAAAAGAAAAATATGCAGGATGTTTCTGAACCTTCTTCTTTTTCCTCATATCCAGCCCATAACTCACTTTCTCAGACCCTTTCACCTTTAAGTCAGATTTTCTCACATCAATATTACTATTTTCCCTATGAATTCTTCAACACAAACTTGAAAATTTTAAAGAAAGGTTCATATCCAGTGCAGAGATTTTTTTTCCCCCCATATCAAGAAGGGAGATTATTTATTTTTTCTTCTCTAAACCTGTGAGTACAGTGTACAACTGAGTGTGCTTTACACGGTAGACATAGAAGGCGAGACCAAAACCTAATTCTGTGTTAACAACCTAAATGCAAAATTATTTTTTATGTTAAAATAAGTCGGAAGTAGAGCTGCCTTTCCGTATTATTAAGAAGAGATGCTTCTAAAATCCTGGAGAAAAACAATTAAATGATCTCCCAATAAGATGTAATCTAAAAGATAAGATAAAGAGCTTATTCTGAAAAGACAACATTCATCTGAAATCCATAAATTCATGTTCTAAACAGAACAATAAGAAATCTAGAGGGAAGATCTGTGCAATTACACTGGAAAAATATGCTTTAAAATATTTTAGTAAAGTTCCTATTTATTTCCAAATACAATTTATTTATAGCAAGTCAAGGAGCATCCCATCAGATCACGTTGCAATCACTCAAATACAGGTTTTTATAAGATTTTTATTCTTCTGAAAGTTRTGATTAGCTAATTTTTAATGACAAAAACAATGAAAGAACCTAGTGAGGATGTGGGCACATAATCTCTGAAGACAGACTCTGTTTTGTTTTCAAATACAGAAAATTATGTTAAAAAAAAGTTAAAGGAAATTAAGGCTGTCCCTTTTGCTCAAGTGCCTGAATACTTTTGTACATGCGTATTATAAGCTATTTTTAAGTAAGAACATTTCACAGATGCTCCAGAAAGACCTCTGCTCATTTGTTGTCCTATGCTCATTTCTTGTCTCCCTTCTGGAGGTGGGCTATGGTTACACATTAGAAGGGGCTCCTCTAAGTAGTGCCCTGCTTCCTTTGCCACCAGTTTTGGAGAATAAGCATGGCAGGAAGCAGAACAGGGCAGCAGAAGAAAASACTCTCGTGGGCCGTTATCACCTCAGTGCTGTCACTTAATGTACAGATCCTCTCCTTGCCTCTGCCCAAAAGGTTTTCCATGTGAAAACAGGCAAGCCTCTTAAATAAAAGATTTCCTAAGTGGTCAGCTGAGTGTCTTGTATTATATAGCGGCCTGTATTGAAAGCCTGTACTTCGTATAGACAAATGCAGAGCTTCTAATGGTTGCCATAAAAGGAAGCTAGAGTTTTGCTTTGGAAGTTTTATGTGAATACTGCTAAAAATAATAATAATAAATCAGGTCACAGGTGTTTCAAACTTGGCAGCCAAACTTAACAGTACTTCTGACCTCAATCTCCTTGTGCTCCACTTCCCTGGTTAATAATAATTCCTTTTCTCAGTAGGGTGTTATGAAAATCAATTAACATCTGAAGCACTGAAATACTGTAGTGATGAGTCCTGTAGAAATGCCAAAGAGGAAAAGAGTAACTTCAACCTCAAATCCTGGTCTGAATGGTACCCAGTAAGGGCATGAGGCCACACAGTGAAGAATATTAAGAAAACCGAAAAACCTGCTCATTAGATAATCACTACTCATTCTGCACAAAGCAAGGCAGGGATGCTGTGAAGAAATCAAAACCCCCGGACTGTGTGCCATTAAAACTGCACCATCATTATTCATATACATAAGCAATTTTCATATCGAACTTCTTAAATAAGCTCAGTAATCTTATTAAAGGTGCTTCAAGTTTGGTTTTACCATAAATGCTACAAGCAAAAACAGAAACATGAAAGGTAAACACCTGAAAGTTGGTATCAACCTATCTGACTGGATACATTTAAATCATCTATGAGGTTCAAACAGCTGATTTTTCATCTAATTGCCACCTTTGTGCTTCATTCTTTCACCACCAAAAAAAAACCCTGATTTTAGATTCACATTAAAAAAAAAAAAAAAAAAAAAAAAAATCAGTTTTCAGCACCTAAAACAGAAGCCTAGTGTGTGTCATGTTTCTTTAGGATTAGGTCATAGAATCTTTAAGGTTGGAAGGTACCTTTAGAGAACACCTAGTCCAACCCACCCCTGCACAAGCAGGGTCACCTAGAGCACGTGGAGACTCCACCACCTCTCCCGGCAGCCTGTTCTAGTGCTGCTACCATCACTGTTAAAAAAAAAAAAAAAATCCTTAAGTTCCTGTAAAAGTTTTGGTGCTTCAGTTTGTGGCCCTTTCCTCTAGTCCTATCTGTGGCCACCACTGAAAAGAGGCTGGATCCATTCTCCTCATTCCCTCCCTTAGGGTATTTACAGACACTGATCAGATCCTCCCCTCAGCCTTCTCTTCTTCAGGCTGAACAGGCCCAGCTCTCAGTCTTCAACATATATTGCAGTGTTTCTACATACTGTACACAAAGCAAGCTGCTGAGCCACCACTTCCCTTTAGAGAAGGCCAGACCCGAACAGATAGATCCGTTCAAGCTGAAGGGCTGTGCAGCCACCTCCATCCATGGTATGAAAAAGCATTGGCTGCTGCCAGTGAGAGCTAGAGGTATCTTCCATGAATCTCTTCTGCTTAATCTTGAAAAGGCTGCAGATATAAATGCTGGCTTCTCAAGGGGATACTGCAAGATATTATGATACATGTTACTATTTCCTTATTTTGTTCCTTGAAGTTCATGGGTCTATGTATATAGCTCCATAGACACAACTAAGACATGCGGCTCTACTGAAGTGGGAAAAAAAAAAAAAAAAAAAGAGTAGTAACCACCTTACATTCTCTGGAGGACAATTACAGCTAGGCAGTGAACACAAAATATACAAAATAGATGATGTCAGGAAGAATGGACTGAAAAGGAGCTGGGTAACCAGTAGGTAGTGCTGGTAGTTCCCCAGTTACTACCATGGTCCTCCCAAACTCCTGCCTTCAGTGAAACCTGCCAGCRAACACACTCACATGTTATCAGTCCCTTCCTCTCACCGCTTTCTATGCACATTATCACCCTCATGGTACACGTGCAATCCAACACAATATCCCAGCGACCATACCAATGCACCAACCCCCTATTTCAAAGGGGGTTATTCCCTTTGAAGTTATTCCTTCTACAAATTTTGAATAAAAACTGCTTCAACTATGCTCTGTTCTTTGGCAGTATTTTTGTAACACCTACCTTGTAGTTTGGTTCCACTCTTTTCTATAAATAGCTTTTCTCTCAATCATCATCATCTTTTATTCAGCTAAGAGCATGCAATACTCTAAGAGTACTAATTAACAGAAAAGCAGAAGCAGAAAAAACTGAAAGGATTACTCAAGAATTTATTTTTTTAATAGCAGTTACTTAACAGACATTTAAAGTGAAAACAGTGTTTTAAGTTAGTTCACTGAAGCCCTGATGAGCTGAACTTGGTAAATCCTGCACAAGGAATCAAACATCACCTCTTACCACATGAGCTCCCATTCCTCTCAATTTGTTTTYGACTCATGCAGGCAGGTCTTCATACCCCCAATTCCCATCAGCTCCCAAGACAGAATCCTCAGGAAAGCATCTACTACAGCTGAAACCCAGCTGAAAGCCAACACAAAATTATCCAGCACTTCTAAATACTGAACTATCCAATTATCACATATCTTGCAGGCAGGAACACTAATCCTTTTAGACACACTACAACTGGAATCGGATTGGCAAGTTCGGCATTATACAGTCTATTACTGCTTCTGTGGTTCTCAAGGATATCTGAAAGGAGGTTAATTTTGAACAACTACTGCCGTATTTCCTGAAACATTTAAATCACTCTTACAACTACTCAGGAGCAGAAGATGACCTGGTGAGGTTAAACCAATCAGGCACTCAGCATGAGGTTCTTAACCTTTCCAAAATCCGGTGCTGATCATTTTTAATTAGGAGACRCTAGACAAGAGAGATTTGAACCTGCAGAACATAACTCCAAGCTTCTTAAAGACTGCACAGAATAGAAAAGTCATGTTACAATAATAGAGTTGCTGATACAAATATTAATCTATATGCAAGCATAAAAATGGAAGTGATAGCACAGCAGTCACACAGGAAAGGAAGAAAGAGCTCAGATCTTGACATAATTGAGCCATCCATCAACAGACTAGATATTTTTCTGTAAAAATTCACAGCAAAATTGGATCAGATATGAAACTGAGTTCTGTATACATTGCTTATTCTCAAAAACAAATACCTCCGACCTTTACTATCTTTTTATTTTGTTTTTCTTTTCCTTCTCTGTACATCCATCTCGTCTTGTGTACTATTGATACATCATTTATTGCCCTTCCTTTGTCATACCTTTTCCAAAAGCTGTTCTCAAATGAAAAACACTGCCTGTGCTGCCAGAAAGATGGTCAATCTTTGAAGGCACTGGCTCAATTTTTTGCCCTTGCTATAATGTGTTGGGAATTCAGTTAGCCTTAACCACTTATTTTGAAAGCTCCCCAATTTCACACAAGAGAAAGAGCACTGCACATGAGCAGATGAATCTTTTTCTTGCAGATATAAGGTTTGCAATGAAGAGCCATGTGCATATATTTGTATTTATAACAGTATTTCAGTTTTATTGCATTTTAGGCTTTAGTTGGGCCACACAAACTTTAGCAAATACAACATCCAAATTTTTTTAAAAAAATAAGAATAGAAAGATAAAGGATTTTGCCTCAGGTATCTTCTTGTTTCTAATAGCCATTACTTAGAAAGACTGGCCTCTGCAGAGGTCGCAGAAACACTGCGGACCAAAATAAAGGCATGTTATACAATTCCACCAATACTCCTTTCCTCCCCTGGAAATTAGCATGGGCACTAATGAGACGAGCAACACTCTAATTCATAGATTTATCCATTTAGCAAGTTGTTATTGTTGGGTTTTTGTTTTTATTTTCCTCCAAGGGTATTCTGGTTTGATGGTTTTTAGAAGCACTGTTTGATCACACCTCTTCCGTTAGAAACTCATATGTATTTGTAAAGGATAAAAATACCTCTTACTTGAAATCTCAGCTGTGATTTAACTGCATTTTTGACTCTGCTACCAACTCACTGTATAAATTCTGCAAGCACCTTGGTCTTCTGCAAGCAATATTTGACTTCATTATTATCAGACGGATGTGAAAAACTCATGTGAAACTGCAGAAAATGGCCAGGGTAGCACAACTGAATCCTTATCTCCAATCCGTCTACCGTAACTGATGGTGCTATAAAACATACATCCATTTTTATCAAGTGCCTTAAAATCTTCATCACAAAAAGCATAAAAAAAGTCTCTTCAGTTGCTGCTCAAAAAGACATCTGTTTATAAAGTAAACTTGGTCAATAAAAGTAGAACTTTTATTCTATAAAATAAAAGTAGATTAGTTTCCCACAGTGTAACCAAACAACTAGCTGACTCAGGGTCTAACTAGTCTAACTAGTCAGAGTCTCTTCATCATGCTGCTACAAATTCTGAAAATAAATCTACCTATTTTGGAAATCAAAATGAGGTGATCACTAACTGCTCTGCTTAAGATTTCCAGAGAGCTGGTTGATTTTTCATTTACAGTTGAGTGTCTTCAGTTCTACAAAACAATTCTAACCCAATTCATAGCTACATAGGTGCCTCCTAATGCATCCCAACCATTAGCAGCTGTATTGCTTGCTACTAGCAAAATATTAATATAAAAAGAAAATGCTGTATACCTAGTAAGTTTATCTGGTTTGTGTTTTCACTGTTTCTGAGTGTTAACAAGGAAGAGGTGATTTAAAGACACAGCTCAATCTGCCAAAACATTTAAATTGTTTAAGCTTGTAGTTGCTAAAGTATGTCTATTATTTCTTGAAAAAGGAAACATCTGTCCCTAATTTCTGTTAACTATGGAATTCTTCCAATAAAGTCAWCAGAAATACTTCAGCAAGACCTCCGGTCAACTGAAACATTTCCAGTAAGTAAAAACACCTATTCAGTTACTCCCAGATCCTCTCTTTGATGGCAGCTACATAATTCAAGCAATCATGTGGTACCTTCAATGCTTTTCTATCGGTATTTGCCATAACAACATTGCTTTTACATCTTCTTTACTGGGAAGGTTGCCGTGTTACTCTGAAGCATGAACTTTTGGAAACACTCATCCTCCCGACCCACTAAGATCAACATCGCTACAAATTAGAAAAGGATCAGCAAATTATAGAGATAAGAGGACAGAAATAGAAGATATCACAAAAAAAAATCACACAAAGAGAACAATGATTCAGAATCAGTTTCCTCCAGTCCTTATGTAAGAAACCCACAGACTGGTGGTTGTGTTGACTTGACAGCCCTACACATCACTTAGCATTGRCATCAGACTAGTAGAATGAAGACTCAAGCCCTTTCAGTTGTTGGGAGTAGAACGTCACCATCATTTTGCATCTTGATCTTAAAGTCTTTATTTCACTGCCAGAAAACAGTGCAGCAGATGCCCCCCATTCAGGTGGGGAGAAAAGATGGCTGTATGAGGACGTGCTTTTCATCCCTGGCTCTGTCAGACCCTGCTTGATTTCTGCACATACACAATAGTTCATATTAATGTCTGTGTACCAAGTGCCTTATCTGTAAGCCTAAAAGGGTATATCCACAAATAAGCAATTAACATATGCCAAGCATTTTTATTCCTAAAATTGAAATCATTGTGGAGGTGGTAGAGTGTTATACTGGTAAATAAAGTTACATAATGCTTGTATATCATTGTCCATAAGGTTTTATTCTCTTCTGTTTGATGCCTTTTTTAAAAAGAYAAATTTACTAAATACTATTATCTACAGTTTGGAAAACACTTAGGGAATATTTCCTCCCCAGACCTCTCGCAGTCTGTCAAACAACAGCAGACAGACACCAAGCCCGCAGTCACCCAGGCCCGTGCCGAGCAAGTGCCGGCACCAAGGGCAGCAGGTCCTGGAAACAGAGCTCCTCAATTMGCCATGAGACACATCCTGGTCAGGAGCAAGCCCCGAGTCCCTCTGACAGCAGGGAGAACATGGCATGCTGCAAAGAAATGGGCCCTGCTCTAGATTTTAGCCTCTAATCTATAGTGCTGAGTAGGAATGGGAGAGGCTTCATTTTTTCCACTACATTTCAGCTTTATACCTATTTGAAATTCACTCAGACTCAGTGTCACCAGAGACTCAGATCAATAGAGTACTGACACTAGAAAGTATCCACCTGGTCACAGAGACACATAAAAATAACCAGCAGGCAGTACGAAGACAGCGCGCCCACACACACACACACAGAGAAAATTCTAACTTAGTTTCAAGGTCTATCACTTTTTTATATGCTAATTTCCATTGTATCTAAATGTATTTCTCCAGTACATTATATAGGGGTGAATAAGAATAAGCAGGTACCAGGGGTGCTCCAGTCTTAAAGGGATGCAAGGGAGCTTATACCCGGCTCYTATTTCTCGCTCCCTTTGGCTTACTCTAGTTGTTCTGATGACAGTGGCCGCTATGGGAGCACATCAGCAGTGCCACCACTTCACAGTGAATCACTCTTATCCGAACTCCTGGAGTTTCAAAGTAAAGCAAACAAGATCTGGGACACTCTGTGCCCATTTGCTCCAACAGAATAAAATTAGAAGCTGTTTAAGTATGAAAATCCTAAGTGGCCCAGTSCTGCCCTTCTTGGTACCTCGGACATTTCCGCAGCTGAGAAAGCCTTCCCCATCCTATCACAACACACAGCAACTGGGACACACATGGCAGCAGCTACTTTCATAAGGAAAAGGCAGCACTGAACCCAGTTCAATACAAGCCCTCTGGCACAGAATACAAACATATATAAACACAATAAAATAATAAGAAACTACAAAAGAAGAGCCATGGGGCAGCACTTGCTTTTAAAGCTACAGAAGCACAGGCCATGCAGTTAAACTCAGGGTTYAGTTAGGTTCCCTGTTACAGTAATGCTACATTAAGAGTCAGAAGCTAAGTAACATTTAAGTACAACTAAATTAGGATGAAGTTAAAAACAAACTTAAAAGTCAAATGTATTTTCTTAAAACACACTTCAATTAAATATAATTTTATAATTCGGCGTTTTATTCCGTTTTGCTTGATCATTATAGCCRATACAGAGAAAATCTTTTCCCCATTTTTATTAACAAGTTTGCATATACACATTCATTGCCATGCACAGAGTGCTACTCCAAGGCCTGTCAGCCTGAAGAAGAAAARACAGAGAGGATCTTAACATGTAGAA